GATAAAAGATTGAACCAACAAAGATATTATTGCAAGGCAATGTCAGGCAGCGCTTCTAATCATTTCTTCCTGGACTGAATTACAGAACTTTCTAGTGGTGAAATGTACTCACGGGAAATTTCAGCTACTTGGAGATTTATTAAATAAACCAGGGAAGAATTCAGGGTCCCCTAAATTCCTCAGTGTTGGCTGTTTCATTTTGCAAAAGGTTACAGAATAAACAAGGAGTCAACTTTTCTAGATGTGATATTTGTGAAGGATAGGACGAGAAGCTGCAATAGGCACTGGTTAATAATACTCAGTGGCAACCTGCAGCTACTAGAGAGATTTTGCTCATCTTATCAAAATCTCATTTTACTTCTTTGAGGTATTTCCTGATCAGGAGTCTCTATAATTTGTCCTGGGGTCACCTTTTGTGACCTTCTGACAAGCAAAGTCAGTGGGGAAGCCAAATTCATTAACAACCGTGCTACTAACTTAACAACTGCAGTGGTTCACTTAACAATGGTGGCAAGAAAGTGGCAAAACTAATTAAACGTGTCGCTTAGCAACAGAATTTTGGATTCAGTTATGGTTGTAAGTCAAGGATGACCTGTATTCACTTGTGAAAATCAGGCCTCCATTTTGAAATTTGAACATATGGCTGGCAGCCCTCTTACCAAGAGAAGGCAGTTGCCAGAAAGCAACATCTGTATCATTGCTTTCCAAGCTGCTGAGCATTTCCTTCTCCTCTGGAAGGATCTTTCTTATTCTTCATTAGTCCTTTCATCTCTCTGAAAAAAATAAATTGCTGTTTTCTGTCTCCAGTGCAGCAGATTAAGAGTTGCTGACAACAGTACATTTTGTTCCTTGCCAAAATTATTTCCTTGCAGCCTTGTACGGACTATTATTCTGCCTATGTTCATGGCTGTGCAGTTTCCAAAACAATCTCTGAAAAATCATTTTCTTATCAGCCAATCAGGATCTTACATACTTCCAGGTATACTCCTTACATGCTGGTTTGCCTTCTTTCCTTTTTTCCCCCCATTCGTTTTTCCTCTTTCTCTCCTTCCCTTTTGTCTTCTGTTCAGTTATTTATATGTTGGCTTTGTGCCTTTTGAATTCACAAGGGGCTGTAAAATCCCAACTGATAGTAATTAATCTGCTGCTGTTCATCACTCATCTATTTTAAACTTTTGTTCTGTGTGCAGCTTAATTAATCAGAATACCCATTCATTCAGCATTTCATGGAAATGTGGAAAGCAGCTGCTTATTGGGAAAAAGAAAGAAAGCAACAGATCATGTGAACTGTGAACGATAATGCTGATAATGCTGAAAAATTATGAAACTATAATTCCCAAGGCATGTGAGGTCAACACTGAATTCAAAGGAAAAAAATTGCATACAATTCAAGACATTTTGAGTTATGATAAAAAAATTAACATTTATATAGGTTTTGTTTTGATATATGAAAACAATGAAAGTATGTTCACATTTAATTATTTAATATGTTATGAATTATTAGTGATCAGTTATTTAATTTGTTGTATGGGGCGGTTGACTATTTCTTCTTCTTTTTGACCATCTTGGACTTTCAGAGGTGATCTTGGATTAGACTGGCTATTGTAAGCATATTGTCTATGATTGTCTCAACAGGCAGCTTTTAAAAGTCCTATTGAAATACATACATACATACATACATATTTTTAAAAGGTAAATAAAATACCCATTTTATAAAATTCTCTCCAAAATTCATATTTTCCAAAATCTTGAACAAAAAAGCCCAGTTCAAATAACCAATGGCCATCTCTGCATCCAAAAAGATCCATGAAGCTTGCTTTTTTATGTGTCTCCAAATATTCCAATACATCCAACCCATTTCTAACAATGTACTTTAACTGTCTTTTAGGTATTGATCCTCATGAATAAATTCTTGAAAAATTGTTTTCATTCTGCCAGCTGGACTCATTATGAACAACTTGTAGTCATTATTTAATAATGATATTGTCCTATAGTTTCTTGTTAAAGTCAAATCTTGTCCCTCTTTAGGTATTAATGCTTTACTGGCCTCTTTCCAATTCTCTTTAATTTTTCCTCCCTACAGGATAGAATTCATCTTGTTTTGTAAAGGTTGTAAAAGTTCATCCTCAAAATATTTATAATAAGAACCTGATAATCCATCTGGTCCAGGCGCCTTTCCCAGTTTAATCTTTTTTATAGCTTCAGGAACATACTTTATTGGGGGTTTTATAATATTTTTATTAAGTACTATATTAAACAGATAAGGCAAATACAAAAGCATAGTATAAAAATAAATAGGCAAAGAAAAAAAATACAGTCCCCACCCACCCCAAAAAACCCCAGAAAGACAAACAAAATATAAGAAACTTCTCCCTTCATTCCCAACAAATATATTCAGTATTAACAAGTTATTACTGTATCTTACAATACAACCAAATATCTCTTCTTCACCTACTTCACCCTATTTTTATAAACTCATTTCTAAATCTTCAGCTCTCCTTATTAATTAGCAAAGATCCAGTAAAATTTTTAAAAAATACCTAATGACCTAAGTATATAATTACCTTTTCCATTTAGTCTCAATTCCCCTCCTTCCTCTTTTAACAATTAAACATTGCCAAAAAAAGAATTAAAACTATTAAACATCTCCAGAAATAGTAACTCATTTTGATACCAAAAGACACTTTAGACAGTTCCAAAATTAAAACTATCCTATCCAGATAACCATTAAGTAGTACCAGAAATAAAAACTTGTTATATAATCATAATCAGATGAACCAATTTTATATTTTTAGAAACTTTTTTATAGTTCTGTTCCTAATCTGTCTTTGTTACACTGTAATCTTCAATAAATTTGTTTCTTTATTTGTTTTCTCTAAAGAGATATCACTTCTTTTACATAAATTGGAATAATATTGATGAAATGCTTTGTGAATGGCTGCATTGTCCATTAATACAGTATCTCCTTTATTTTCTAGACACTTCCCAGATTTATATGCAAATCGTTGGAATCCGATTGTATTACCAAATTATATTTCAGTATGTTTTACAAAATTGTAGGAGATAACTCTTTGTTTCAGTAGATCACTACTACTGGAGATAGGAAAATCTAAACATTTTCAAAAATGCAGTGCAGAATATTCTTATTCAGGCCAGTGAGAATAAACATTATCATCGAATAAATATTGCAGAATGTTTGGACTTGCTGGCAAAAGCAGGGTTCTCCATCTGATGTAATGGTCATTCTTAATGTGACAAAAGAGGAAAATAATTAATTGCTTGATGGGGAAGCCATAACTATATGACTTGATTTCAGTTTCTTTTAACTACAGTTAACTCTGTTCCATCATTTGGAGTCTAGCCTACTGCATCCCATTCAAACCAAATACAGCCATCAAACAAGAGTAAGTTGTGCATCTCTGTTTTGGTCTAGGAATTTGAACAAAACTTCCTGTTGGAGCAGCTGAAATCTATTTAGATAGCTGCTTGTGCTTAAAAATTGGCATTATACTCCAACAGATATGTGACAGATTCCAATGCACTTCTTTAACAAGCCAAATGACATTCCTCCATGATGAGCCCAGGACCATGGAGGGCCTGTATTTTATAATGTATTTTATTTTGGAGGAAGAAACAATACATTGTTATACTTCAAGGTATTGAGTTATTAGCCAACAAATAAGCATGGACTACCCAACAAACTCAATGGCATTAAAGGAACAATGTTTATTCATTCATTAAATCAAGCATTAATAACATAGTCAAAGATCTCTTTCTTATTGTGCTTATTCTCATTCAACCTAAATGTTTAAAAATCCTACATTTTGAAAATGAATGGGCACATATGGCTAGACGCCTTGAAATTTATTAAATAAATTAAATAACTAGGAAAAAAATCCACTGCAGTCCCAAATGTGCTTTTTCAAGAGGCAACTGGACTAATACCTCTACGAGGTTAGAAACTTCATATATTTCCTAAAAGGCAAAGCACATAACCTACATTTAGTACTGTTATTAGCAAAAGAAAAGTAGTAATTTTGATCCAATTTGTCACTCTGGGAGCACTGCCAAAATCAATTTTAAAAAATTAATGCAGATTCTAGTGGTACACATCAAAACCATAAAGTATCTTGATTGCAGGGTGCCCATCCAGCCTGTTTGCTGGGGTTGCTACTTGATAACAAGTAATACAGAAGGGTGGATTCAAATGATAATCAGATAAGATTTATCATGCCTTTAAATCCATGTAATTATTTATTAAATTTAACCTGCTGTTCTTCAAAAGGTTGTTTGAAATAGTAAAACAAAAGTGCAAAATACAGGTCATCCTCAACTTACAACAATTCATTTAGTGAGCATTCAAAGTTACAACGGCACTGAAAAAAGTGACTGATGACCATTTTTCAGTTATCATCTTTGCAGCATCTCCATGATCATATGATCAAAATTCAGACACTTGGCAACTGGTTCATATTTATGAAAGTCGCAGTGTCACAAGGTCATATGATCACCTTTTGTAATCTTCTGACAAGCAAAGTCAATGGGGAAGCCAGATTCATTTAACAACCGGGTTACTAACTTATCCACTGTGGTGATTCACTTAATCCCTTTGGCAAGAAAGGTTGTAAGATGGGACAAAGCTCAATAAATGTCTCACTAAACAACAGAAATTTGGGACTCAATTATGGTCCATAAGTCGGAGGACTACTTGCATAAAACACACCAATAAAATGCATTTGAAATCCAGGTAAATAGACATATTAATGTATTTTAAATTCTGGATCCAGAGGAAGTTACTTGAACATGGTTCCCAGTGACATCAACAGGATTTACTATGAGATAAGAAACATGGAGGATACAACTTTACTTTGGATTCAACCTAGTCATTTTGCTTTTGTTTTTTTGCACAGAATCGGAATCAAACCAGATTTGTTTATTTATTTATTTTTGCATAATTATGGAACATGTTTTCTTTCACTTTTTCTTGGCTTTCCTTTCAGGTGGGAGATGGGAAAATGGAGCTCTTGCAGTCTCACCTGCGGTGTGGGGTTGCAAATCCGCGAGGTTTTCTGCACTCACCTCCTCTCAAGAGAGGCTAATGAGACAGTGACTTTGGAGGATAAGCTATGTCACAAACCCAAGCCCACGGGGGTACAAGCCTGCAACCGTTTTGATTGTCCTCCATCTTGGTACCTTCAAGAATGGCAACAGGTAAATTCCAGTTCCCAAAAGAAAAAAAACCCACCTGTATCTGCTATTAGTGGCTGGGAATGGGAGGGATACTAATCTTGGAATCATAAATTCCATTTATGCTTTGATTTGTTGCCCGCTGACCTCAGGTGAAACCCTATTTGGTTCTTTATGCTGATTTGAGGAAAAAACCCATCCAGCAAATTCCTATCTTACACCCACTTTTATCTACCGATTATTTTATCTAGAAATATTAGTGAGGCCTTTGAATTTGTTTGAAGAAAGTCTATCTAAAAGTCCTAAAGTTTTAATGTACCTGCAGGAGAGTTTTTGTCAGAATATCTTGCATCACAATATCTTGCTGCTTTCAACAGAAAGAGGAAAACAACATTGCACTACTGTATGCGTTCCACCCCTTTGGGAAGGTGCATGCTGTCAAATGCAATGCAATTGTCACAGACATACACACAACACACACAACACACACCCAAATACTACAGATCACTGGCTCATGTTAACGCTCCACAGGTTTAATGTTTTGGCTGTTCAAGTCTGTTGTTTTAATTAGAAACATTTTTTTAAATTAGAAAGCCAACTGTGTTTTCAGCCCTTATCTTATCTCTTTCCCTTTGTCTTCTTTCCAAAAGAAAGTGGCTATAGCATCTCTTTAACATAAAGTGGCCTAAAAGTGTTTGTATCATTATATCTTTTTCAGCCTTCGTTTTTTTGCTTTTATAATAAAACAAAGGCTGAAAGAGATGTAATGATACAAACACTTTTTGCAAAAGGGGCTTTATAAAACCCAGAATGCATCTTAAAAACCTGCCCCAGCACATCAAATAAAAATCCTTCCTTGTTTCAATCCCCTAATTGCTTTTATTAGTATTTCTATCCTAAGGCCAGCTATTCCACATGCTGTTTGAAGCAACCCATTAACTTTTATGAGATACCAATCAATTTGTGGAAGTGCATTGCTGCTCATGTTTCTCAGGCTTATAAGCTTCTGCTGCAAATGTTCTGCAGTGTTCACAGACATGCGGAGGTGGCATTGAGAGACGGGAAGTTCTTTGCAAGCAGCGCATGGCGGATGGAAGTTTTCTTGAACTTCCAGAAACTTTTTGTTCCACTTCACGGCCAGCTTTCCAACAGGCCTGCAAAAATAAGGATTGTCCCCCTGAATGGCTCCTCTCGGATTGGACACAGGTATGAAGTAGTGGTAGAAATAGAATCTGGATTATTATTATTTTTATTTCCTTTTCTTTGCACAACCTGAATTTTGCTTTTGATCATTTTGTTAAGGCAGTATTTCCCATTAAAGTCTTGTAATCTCTAGATTAGATTTATGCCAGTTATAAAGACAGCTGTTTATTGATAATTGAGGATATATATTTTTCTTATTATTATTATTTTTCTTATTATTGGATTTAGACTCTTTTGGGCTGACCCAATTATGCCAGGTAATATTACCGTATTACTAGTGAGGCTACAGGCTAATGAATCTGCAGAATATGCCACCTATGAAAAGCCCTGAGAGTCTTTCAGAATTTGAACTTCAGTTGGTAAATAGCAAATTTAAACAATTCCTCTGATCCACTGTCAAAAATTAAGCCATGAGGTATTTTGAAATTACTTCTGTATTGTAAAACTAGAGAAGACGAACAATAACAAACATTTTTTTTAAAGTTACACAGATTGCCACAATAGGGTTTTCATGCTAGCTTAAATTTAGTAGGATTGTTGAGTAAGTGAGATATTTCTGTTATCATTGATCTTTCAACTATGACCGCCCCTGATAAAATTCCAAGGAATATTTGCTGGAACATCATTAGAAATCCATGATCAATGTAAGAATATTAAATCTGGGGAAGGGATCTGCCAATCTGACTGAACATTGCTGAATTATAGGGCAAAATTATAAACATGCTTCAGAAGAATATTTCGACTTTCTAATAGTCTAGTATATTATTGCTATCTAATCCACATGACTTTTTAATGTGAATTAGATTCTGCTGACCTATGATCCTTAACTGAGAATGGCTTTTTCTCTTCTTCCTGTTCAGTTCTTTCCATTTCTCCTTCGTCCAAGAAGCAAGCAATTAATTTGGTTTTTGAAAATCATATTTATGCCAGGTTGGATGTGCTCAATGTAACAAGCCTAACTAATGACAGCCTGACAGCCCAGCCAAATAAATAGATTTATCTAGATAAATCTGTTGTTAGAACATTTAGCCTTTCTGAGTGTAATAGGCACCTGTCTATTCCTCAGGCAGTGTTCATTATTTTACTTTTAATCATTCAACCATTGCTTTTAATCATACATTGGAATCTATGCTACTCAAATTTTTAGATCACAAACTGTTTTCTTCCACACCTGGGAATATTTCATTTCTTTTTTCTTACATTCTAACTTCTGGGTTTATGACCCTCCTCTTCTAAATATTTATTTTATTTATTTAGATGTATATGGCCACCCAATTTGTGTGATCACAACTCAATAAAACCAAATGCAAACCCCAAATTGCATTTCAAACCAACAAATCAACAAAAACAAAGCATGCAATCAGGGCCCATCAACACAGAATCTACCTCCCAAAGACAGGCTCATTTATGGAAAATGCCTGGGGTGGGGGTGGGGGACAAACTTCTGAAGTTTTTCTAAACACTAGCAGGTTTGGGGGACAATCGATTTGCGGGGAATGGGTAGACGTCTTTCAAAAGGGCAGGTGCTGCAACTGAGAAGACACATATTCTAAGTCCCATCAGATGATGTTGCTTCGGGGAAGGGACTTGGAACATGTCATAGCATGTGGGATAGACAGATACTCCAATGAAGTAGAAAATTTGTAGCTCAGGATTGAAATGAGAGGTCCTCTGAGCTTGGTTGTTTTCTTGCAGATGTTTCATTACCCAAATTTGATAACATCATCAGTGCATTATTAGTGCACCAATGACACTATCTAGTTTGGGTAATGAAATGTCTGCAAGAAAACAACAAAGCTCAGAGAGCACCAAGGACCCCACACAAGTGGTCTGGCAAATAATCCAGTCCTGTGCCATATTGGGCTTCATAGTCATAACCAGCACCTTGAATAGCACCTGGTAGCTTATTATTTTATTTATTTTTATTTATTTATTTGATTCGTCAGTCGCTTACAAGAAAATATGCAGTATATATAAACATGAGTAAGAATACAGGAAATAGGTACGAATAAATGGGGACAACAGGACAGGGACAGTAGGCACCATGGTGCACTTATGCACGCCCCTTACAGGCCTCTTAGGAATGGGGTGAGGTCAATAGTGGTTAGTTTGAGATTAAAGGAGTGGGGCTTAGAGGATGTAACAACAGAGTCAGGTAGTGCATTCCAGGCATAGACCACTCTGTTGCTGAAGTCTTAATTTCTGCAATCGAGTTTGAAGCGGTTTACATTGAGTTTGTATCTGTTGTGTGATCTTGTATTGTTGTGGTTGAAGTTGAAGTAGTCATTGACTGATAGGAGAGTGTAGCAGATAATTTTGTGTGCTACGCTTAAGTCTAACCATAGGCGGCGTAGTTCAAGGTTGTCCAAGCCCAAAATCTCAAGCCTAGTGATATAGGGTATTCTGTTGCGAGCAGAAGAGTGTAGTACTCTTCTCGTGAAATACTTCTGGACTCGCTCAATTGTATTAATGTCTGATATGCAATGTGGATTCCAGACTGATGAGCTGTATTCGAGTATTGGTCTGGCAAAAGTTTTGTATGCTCTAGTTAGCAATTATACATTTCATGCATTTCATGCACTGTATGCCCATGTTTTTGTGACCTATAACCACTTGCACTGTGCATCATTTAAGGGCAGTCCCATGAAGAATGCATTGCAATAGGCCAGGGGTGTCAAACTGGTGGTCTGCAGGCCAGATGCGTCACGCACAGGCCACACCTGCCCCAGCTCCACTAATGGGAAAAACATCACGTGACAGCAACATGACACAGCGAGTTTGACACCCTTGCAATAGGCCATCTGGGAGTAACTAAGATGTATATCTTTTTTGATGCTTCAGCTGGCACAATTGGTTTATAAGCTGGAGTTCTGCAAAGGCCCTCCTAGCCACCACTGCTGCCACCTTGAGCAGGAGTTCTGAGTCCAGGGGAACCCTCTACATTTGCACTGTTTCTGACTGATCCAGAACGGTAATAGTGCAGACAATGTTGAGTGCCCCACAGTTATTTGAATCACTGGTGTATGAAGTGCTCCAGCTTTCAAATGCTGGCTCCAAGTTAAGGTCCTGGTTACCACCTTTAAAGCCCTATATAGCACAGGACCAAGATTGCACCTCCCTGGAGATATCAGCCGACGCTACTAAGTTAGATAGGGGGATGCCACCTGATGAGATCTCCAAGATCCTGTGGTGCAATGCAGCCCCTCCTTCCTGGGAATCCATACTACATTCCACCACGAATACACTCTCTTGGTGACATCTCAGCTGCTTGGAACAGCTCCCACCTGAGATCCTAGGAAATCCCTACCCTTTTAGCCTTCCAGAGGGCCATGAATATTTGGCTTATCCCCCACGCGTTGGGTTAGGATGGAGGTTGAGCCAGAGTTAACTCCAAGGTTAACAGGTAGTAACTAATTAACATTTCATCTTTCCTAAGCAGCTGTTGTTCTGTTTCCAGTGTTCTGTTAGCTGTGGAGAGGGAACCCAGACACGAAATGCCATTTGTAGGAAAATGCTAAATACTGGACTTTCTGCCATTGTAAACTCATCACTGTGCCCATCTCTGCCGCTCTCCTCCTTGGTCAGACCATGTGTGCTCATGACTTGCTCAAGTGAGTATAGAAGAAGATCTGGAAGGAAATTGGGAAGATTGGGACAAATTTCCTGGCCAAAGAAACTACATGAAGGCTAAAGAACTTAAAGGCAAAACATTTGGAAGAGCATAATTTAGCGAAGTATAACATAACACTATAATTATTAACATTAATAGCAGGACAGTGCGAGAGTAATGTGCTTTATACATTCATTTAAATCAGGGGTACCCACTCTCTTTCAGTCAAATGGCTGCAGTCCAAAGCATAGATAGGGTCAGGTCAAGGAAGTAGATGAAAGCAGAACAGCACAAAAATGTATATTTTAATTTAAATTTAAATATTAGAATTAATGTGGATATGCAGTGCAAAGTGCTTTGGAGTAGCCATTACTGGGGCTTCCTTAAATCAAACATGCATTTCTTTGGGATCAGAAGGCTACAGCACAAGCCTAGATAATGATGCAACCTTCTTAAAGAAGTACTTACAGGAGATTATTTGTTGATTAAATCTCTATTTTCTGTAAACTGTTCAGAAGTGAAATTTCACCTAGTTCCAAAAGAAAGATGTTTGTTTGGTTTACTGAGTTGGAAGCTGCATTTTATGGTCCATCTGCAGATGCCCATGTAAATCACATCCCAGACTCAAATTTTCTGTAGTAACTTCCCCATTAAATATCCTGTATTGATAGGGTATCATGCTACCTCCCCATAGGCATCACCCATCAGTGATATGAAGTCCATGCAGGAAACACACACATGGGCACAGCACAGAAGCATTAATGGAAAGGAAAAAGAACCCTTAAGTCTCCTTTAGTTTATTAGGTTGAATGTGCAAATGTGATGTGACACCATATCCTAATAATGTTGCTTACATTCCAGGATATCAGAGACCAGCTCACAAGCAACCCCCCTTAATACTGGCTCAAAAGAAAGTTTTCATCCAGACAAGAAAGCAAAAGAAGCTCCATTTTGTTGTTGGTGGATACGCCTACTTGTTGCCCAAGACTTCCATCATTCTTCGATGTCCTGTGAGACGATTCCGGAAACCAATGATCACGTGGGAGAAAGATGGCAAACGACTCATCAGCTCTGTTCACGTGACCATCGCGCCGTATGGATACATGAAGATCCATCGATTAAAGCCCTCCGATACCGGCATATATACCTGCACAGCGGGACCAGCTCAGGAGCATTTTGTGATTAAACTCATAGGAGGCCACAACAAATGTACCGCCACCTTGTCATCTGGGATAAAAGAAGACGAATCCTCAAGGAAGGTCAGTCTGAATGAAGCTTTGCAGGGCCAGGAGAAACATCAGACTAAAATTCTCTTCAACGGAAGCAAAACTGAAAAACGAGGACTTGTCTCTGATCCTAGCCACCAGTACGATGACATTGTCTCAAGGCTTCTGGAATACAGAGGCTGGCCCCGGGTTAGTGCGGAGCCCTGGGAAGCTCAGGACTCCACAGAAAGAAATATTTCTTCGGAGGAAGATCAGGGTCAGGACTACAACCTGCCTTTCACTATGGTCGCCAGTCAGGATCGTTTAGACGATATCTTAAAAAATTTGTCTCAACAGCCTGAGGAACTGAAGGATGTCTATAGCAAGCAACTTATCTCTCAGCTGGCCCATGAAATTTTCAAGAGCCACTTGGAGCATCAGGAATCTTTTTTCAAAACCCAGGGAAGCAGAGTCAGCTCTGCCTCAGTGGAATTTCCGTTCACTAAGCATTTCTCAGAGTTTAACAGATTACTGAGAACATCTTCCTCCGAAGCCCACTTGTCCACGTCTCTAGAACTCGTAAATGGTTCGCGTGGGCCGCACAAGAAACCTGCCATCTTGAAGAAGATCTCTGCGGCACAACATCTATCCGCATCTGAGGTTGTTACCCATTTGGGGCACACTGTGGTTCTAGCCAGTGGGACATTAAGTGTACTTCTTCATTGTGAGTCTGTTGGAAATCCAAGGCCAATCATTACCTGGGCGAAGAATGGAGAAGCTGTGCAGTACAACAAGAGGTAATAAAATGCTAATTTCATCTACACACACATATACATACAACTTTACTTTCATGCATTCTTTTTACATTGTCTAATGGCATTTTTTTCAAAACACATTATTTCAACTGTCATACTAATGGATATATTAGAGATGATTCTATAGGAGCAGATAATTGATTGAATAAAACTCTTAGTTGTTTAAAATCTAGGACATTCATTCCTAATTTGAGGTCCTCCAGATATATTGGATTACAGTTTACAAAATCCCCAGCCCCCAATTGTTGAACATAATCATGGGGAAACTGTAAAAAAAAAACAGATTTAGTTCTACTCTGCTTTAGAAATGAGGCAGAACAGTAGACTGTTATAGTTCCGAGTGGAGGAAAAATACTATTTTGAATTTTTCCCTATGTACAAAACTAAAACCTACTATGTAGAATACTGGCACATAATGGAAAAGTTTCTAATTAAGCTGTCCCGTCCCTCATTTGCAATTTATAGAGAAGGTATTTTTTAAAAAATCAAGGAAGTGTTTTTGAAATATGTAAGGAAATTTATCCAGTTCTATCATTCTAGAAATATACCATTTTATTTAGTTGCAGGTTGTGTAGAGAGTTTCTGCTCTACAGTACAAGGATCTTTATAAAATTGGTTCATACTACCGTTTGCAGAAATGAAAGATAGATGGTTGCATTCTAAAAGGGACTGTTTTATAACAACTAACACACGTGTTGAAAATATTAGCAAATTGGAAGAATTACATGGCTCTAGGACAGCTTTTCTGACCTTTCTAACTATAGATTAAGGTTGCAAGCTACATCATACTCAGAAATTCTTTAAAGATTATTCAGGCAATGTCAGGCTAGAGCAGGGGTGTCAAACTCAATTTCATTGAGGGATGCATCAGGGCCGTGGTTGACCTCGGGGCCCCAGGGGGGCATGCCCGACTGGATGGGTGTGGCCGACTGGGTAGGTGGCTGACTGAGTGGACATGGCCAGGTTGACACCATTCCCCAAACTGCTGGCATGTTTCCAGAGGTGGGATTCTACGGTTCGGGTGAACCGGATGTTAATCTGGTTCGCTGAACCCACCCCTCCCCTCCCAGGAGTCTCCACACAGCCCATATTCTATGGAGGTAACTGCAGGATCTGTGCGGAGGCTCTGGGAGGGGGGAAAACGGGGCTTCCGGAAGTCTGAAAATGGGCTTGTTTCCGGCTTCTGGAGGGCCTCCAGACCCCGGGGGAGGCAGTTTTTACCCTCCCAGAGGCCCAGGGGAAGCCTCCAGACTCTTGGAAGGGCGAAAACAGCCTCCCAGGGATGTGGAGGCCCACCGGAAGCCGGAAATAGGAAGTTCCAGTAGGCCATGCCCACCATGGCCACATCCACCCAGCAACTGGCCGACGAACTGGTTGCTGGGATTTTTTAATTCCCCCCCCCCGCATGTTTCCTTTTCACATTGGGTAGACCAGGCCGAAGCTCTTCTCACTGGGTAGACTGGGCCCAAGCCATGCTGGCCTGATCTTTGCATTTGGGTAGACAGGACCAAAGCTACACTGGCCTGATCTTTCCTCTTCACATTGGGTAGACTGGGCCAAAGCTATGTGGCCTGATCTTTCCTCTTTGCATTGGCTAGACTGGGCTGGCCTGGCCTGATCTTTCCACATCGCATTGGATAGACCAGGATGGTCCTACGGGCTGCATCCAACCACACTGCGGGCTGGATCCAGCCCACAGATCTTAAGTTTGACACCCCTGGGCTAGAGCAACAAAAATGGAATGAATTTCTGTCAATTGCCAATTAGATTAGATCTCTTAATTTAATGTCTACATTATATTTAACATATATATATGTGGGCTTTTGATTTCATGATTATGTGTTTGTCCCTCCTTATTCTAAACATTTTAGAGGAGTTTTGAACAATCCTATCTTCCATTTATAATTGTACAGTGTTTACTGAAATTGTTTGCATCTTTTTTTTCTTACTGCAGAGATTCCATTAAGAAAGAGACATGTTATTTATATTCCACCATTTGGATGCAGCTCTGATCTTATCCAAATTGATTATATATTTAAAATATTTTGATCCTTCCTAGCCTCCAGAGAATTCTATATGGCTACAGATGATGCGGTACATATGAGCAATGGGTACAATAGGTCAAGGTGTTTATCCATTACAACCCTAATTCATTTAAATTAACTATCATGGTTTCTTTTTAATAAATCCCAAGGATTGTTATTAATTGATATTGTTAGGAATTACTTAGGGATTCTTAGTTTCCCTCCCCCAAAACTCAGAGGTAACTGAGAAGGGATCTGACTTGAAGCCAATTTAACTCTGTAATATGGATATCATATGTATTTAGTTGTTTCAAAAGGAACTGAAATCCTTAAGTAGAAAAATGTGTGGCAAGCTTGTTTTATAACCTACTTGCTGCTGCAACTCTTCCTAACTTTTTTATGTATAGTTAATATGATTTTTTGATAAATGGACAGTATTTCCATGGGATACAGCCATTTCCCCATAGTTTTTTCGAGTATCTTTGGTGGAAGCATTCTCTTCACACATATTGCAAAGTTACAGCATAAATGTCTTTACACGAGGATCACAGTTTATTTCTCCCATGATTTTTTAAATCCCAAAATAGTCTCAGGGCAGGTTGCATCTGGACTAAATCACCCATTACTGGTATCAAGTAGATCACACGGAGCAATATGAGTTTCTTTTCAGATGCCACATTATGGGTGATGAAGAAGGAGGTTGCTTATAGTAAGAACCAATTTAAACTGCACCAGATCCTCAAATTCAGTATCTTGGCAAAGATCTCTATTTAAATCTATATTTCTGAGAAGAAAATAGAAGGAGTAATATTGCTTTCAGGGCAGATATTTCCCTTTAATATCATTTTGGTTAACAAAATATCCACAATATCTATCTATCTATCTATCTAATCATCTATTTATAATCAATCTATATCGCTCTGTCTTTATCTATCATCTATTTCTATCATCTATTTATAATTTATCTATTTATAATCTATCTCTAATGTGGAGATCCTATGTTTGTAGGATATACTGTGTAAGATAGATAGATAGATAGATAGATAGATAGATAGATAGATAGATAGA